TTTTCAAGCTCCATCAGCTTCTCTTTGGCTGCTTCTGGATCACGAACAAGTAGCTCATCAAACTCTTTGATTAATTGTTTACGCTTTTGGCGCTTCAAGATACGATGATATCTGCAAAGGGAAAACAGAGCATTGTACATAACAGACTTTGTAATTTCTATGGAAGTTTCTGCACGTCATAATGCAGAGGAAAAAGTCACTTACCCTTTGGATTTGATTTTAGCAGCATAACGGTACTTTGCTTCTCTGTAACTGATTAGAGCGCGCATCTTCTGCATCTGATTCAGTCTTTCTTTGGCCTGAAACGAAGAAAATCTAATTCCACTGAAAAAAATGGTATAAATACATACCTCTTTTACATCCATCGCTTTGATGATTTCCATTTCTGCTTCTGTATAAACGGTATCATTAGTCATATTGTTTTTGGATCCACTCCACATTTCCATCATTTTCTTTTCAAAATCCGTTTTGGGCTGAAATCACATGCTTCATAGTCAGTACGAAAAGAGGGAGTGTTACCTTGAAAGCTTCAGCTCTGTCAGCAGCTTTCTCAGTTGATAACAACATTTCCTCATTCAGAGGGAATGACAGTTGATCTGCCAAACGGTTGGATTTCACTACATCGTTCCAAACTTTGAGATCTTTCCTGGAAAACGAGAAATTCACGCAATGATCAAAAATGTGATTTTATAAAATAAGGTCTGACTCACTTCAACTCGATAAATCCCACGGCTCCTTTGATCCGTTCACTTGCTTGTCGATGTACAGGTACAGCAACTGTTTGACTTGATCCAACCCTATTCTCCTCTTTTTTCTCTTCTTCTAATTTCTGCTTGGCTAAAGCGGTGGCGAATCTGCAAAGGCGAACGAATTTGTACCAACAAATGGGTAACAAATTCACTTGAAACACATAGTCAAACCAAAAAACAATTGGTAATTTGAACCCAATAAGAGTCATTCAGAATTATGAAATGGTAAAAAATAAACGGAGAAAGCAATAGAACTCACTTGGATTGTTTCACAGATTTGATAAGGACATCACTGCTGATCTTCGGTGCGGTTTTGCGAATTTGAACCTGAACTAAAGTTGAGAAACACTAAGCTCTGGAAAAAATGATAAATGCACACCTTTTCTTTGTTGCCCAGCACACTTGCCAGCAGTTTCTCATGCTTGATTTCGTCAAAATCGTCATCATCTGACATCTCAATTGAATCTTGATACTTATTTTTGTAGAAATAAGACCGCAAGTAAGCATTTCAACAAGTAGCGGATAAAACCGATGGGCAAAAACTCAGTGCATACCGGATCCGTTTATCAATCATCTTCATAACATTTCAGAGGTATAAAAACAATAAAATTAAGTTACTTATTAATTAATGCGCATTGGAGCTAGGACAAATAAATCATGTAACACGTATGAATTCAATCATAAAACCAGGTCCTTAATCACGGTTTGCAATAGCATTCAGATGATGTTCAACCTGATCGTTCGTCAGCTTTCTGCAAAATTAGGCTCCTCTCAACATGAATTCCTGCATTGCAGATAGGAACTCACGTGAACTTCTTGTCCTTCTTTGAGACCACAACGACTTCAAGATCTTTTGAACGGGTTTCGATACCCAAGCTGCTTTGTAGAGCTTCGATAGCTAGTTGGATCGTTTCATCATGATTCAGATCTGACTTTTTCTTGATCTTTTTCTCGAGGAAAGAAGATGCTGTGACCTAAAATTTCACTCGCATTTTCTGGTTCACAAAAGAACAGGGACATTACTAGAAGAACCCAGAAAGCATTTTAATATCACAGACTATAGTTGTAACGAACGGAATTTTTCATCGAATAAACGA